CATAAAAGGCGGAGTCAGTTAAAGAATTAATAAAAAATGGATTTCTACCCAGACAATATTGCCAGGCAAAGTGCTGTCTGCAGACAAAGCAAAACACCCAGTCCGACACAGTGTGACCAAGACAACAGGCACTCAAAGATATAAAGACTTTGAACAAGCAAAAGAAAACTGTAAAAGAAGTAAAAGAAACCGCAAACCACCACATTAATTACTGCGCTCTTAAATGAGGTCACCAGCATCCATGAATCATACGTAATAACCAAAGAAGCAAAGCCACATTAGCTGGGATGCGAGGAGACCTACAAGCAGATATGATCAGTATGCTGTACAGAGCGTTCTAGGATAACATAGAGGCTAGGCAAGGTTTGAGGAGAGAGATGAGTAAATGACATTTCCAAACACACATGTGCAAAGCACAAGTATAAGAGTGGCTTCAACAAGCCAAACGCCAAGCAAAGAATGACACCAAGAGTCCACGTCTAGCGGAAAAAATTGACGTAAAGCAGGGACAACAACAAAGTGCTTTAATACATACAAGTTCACGTTCAAAGAGAATAAATTCTAAACCCATGCTGGGTCTGAAATATGGGAGTCTTTCATTGAATCAGTACATCTAAGATTTTGCACAAACATTGAATATTCCCCCAAAACTGCTAGTAATCTTGCAGCACGGGCAGAACTAGGGAAGTCCCAATACAACTGGAGGTTTTCCTAAACGGTATCAAGTCGACTCTGAAAGAACGTACGGGTCATGCAGCTGACAGCCTTTAACGAAGTTCACGGAGACGCTCTTTTATGTCAAGTAGACTTATAAGCATCAGGTACTAGTGTTGGGCGTTTGGTGTTTGCAACACTCTAGAGGAATGTGGTTATGCTTTCGTCTGGCAACGCACGACCCATATCATCATTTCATCAATTATTTAGCGTTTGATATTTATTTTCATTGTATGTTGTCTACATCCCGGGGCTACCCAATACTATTTCCCCCTAAAGAGCACAAAGAATGAAAAGAAAAATTGACTTACCCTGCAGCTAAGAGGAGGACTGTGTCATGGAACTGAGGAAGAACGTTAAGTTCTGCACTTGGAATTGCGATCGAACAAAGCTGGATGACCCAGAAGGAACCGCACGTTCCCAGCGATGTTCTTATCGGGGTTGGTGCATAGGTCGACCGACAAACTCTGGTGAATCTGTGCATCCAGGCCAGCTCTCGCTTCATGCATGAATGACGGGCGAAAGCCAAGAAAGTGCGCGTTTCCCTCCACATGTATCGCCAGCTCTTCTGGAGGAAGGGGGATGGGACGAGGGCGAGTGCAGTTGTTGCCACTTCTGCTCTAGCGCCTCCACCTCTCGCTGGAGCTCGGCCTCACAGTTTGATGGTCTTCTTCTGTAGGTCCGCCATGGTTAGCTTAGCTGTCGGAGAGACCAGGGAATCCTGCTTGTCCTTGCAGTCCTTCCCGGCCTAGCCGGCGTTGTGAGCCAACAGAAGGTGACCTCAGCCGGCACATCGGCGCTGTGTCTTCGGCATGCATGGCGTGAGAAAGCCGAAGACTGGATAACTAGTCGAGAGGATTCCGGAGTCAATTTGCTGCCTGTCCTGCCCCTGGCAGGTTGACGTCAGACTGACACGACAGGGGCTGGAAGGCATGCTAATTACAAACTTTCATCCCCGGGGCTCCCAAATATCCACCGTGATTGGTCCGAATAGATTGAATAATTTCAAATTCACCGCAAGTCTGATTGACATTTCCTTCAAGAAATCGTGCGTTAACTCGCTTCCTGCCAATTAAATGCCCATTTCTGAGGGTCCTGGCATTAACCTACGGGTCAAATTTGAAAAGTTCATGAACTTTTGACAATGCTGACGGACCCTTTATTTGCTTTTAATAGGTTGTTCCAAATACTCAATAGTTTTGGTCAACATAGCTGCAATGCAAAGACATTGACATCATGGAAGAGTCCACTAATCAAGGAGGGTTTGCGCAGTTACGTCTAGACGTGTCTGACAGGCATCGCATTGGGCTTAACCTCAGGTCGCTACGTTAGCGGTGTGGTTGATAACAATTCACCTCTGTCTAATCTGAGGTCAATTAAAAGACAAGCGGCTTAGACTAAGCGCTATCACATTTCGTTTTCACCGTATGTATACTAGTATTCAACTGCTGTGGGGATTGTACATTTTACAATAGCGGGGTAGAACTTGTGCTGCAAACCCACAAACTTACTTATAAGGTTTACGACAAATTCAGGGTCGATCGTCTTCATGAAATGCTTCTCAATACGTTTTCACAAACATAATTTGCAGGGCGTTATACTGTACGGATTTTCCTCTAGACGTTCTGCTGCTTAAGTTGAATAGTTGCAGCTGTTTGTCCTTGAGCGCTATCTGATCGCTGTTGAAGGCCGTGTTGTTGGGGATGATACAATAACGCTAGCAGGGGAGAACTGTGTTCCTGTAGAAAGGCTGGGATTTCCCGACAATAAGACTGTAATAGTTTTTAAACTGGTTGTGATAACAGCCAGGAGGAGACTCCCTCCCCTGGACACAGCTAATTTTAGGGGGTTTAAAATTGATACAATCACATTATCGATTTTTAGGCAAACAGAGGGATAGAAACCATGGTTAGAAACCAATCAAAATGTGCATATTAATAATTTTCTTTCTTCAGAAGTTTTTTTCTTCTTCTTTTTTTAAATTCAGAAAACAGTATTTTCTTGGATGTGTAGTCCTAAAGATGAGACCACTTATTTAGAGAAGTGGAATTTTGTTTTGGGGTGTGTTTTTTCTTTTGATAAGGGACTTGTTTACAAGGTGAGTGGTGATTAGAAAAAGGATGAGAAGGAACCCTGCAAAAGGTTACTAAAAGTGAACTCCTGTGTTAGTAATCTTTCGAATTTAGCGTAGAGCGTAGAGAGGCTTCTTGAATTCAGCGCAATACGTAGCCGGCTCTCAGAATTTAGCGTTGTCGGGACCCCCCTTGCAGGGCCCCTTGAAAGGGCTCACACAGCACATTTTCTGTATCTCTTCGTATTCCCGTCTTAAACAGTGAAAACGCAGTGCCACCGAATCTGTTCTGTTCTCCGTGACCTCATTTCCCTTTCCTCAGGCCAAAGTTGGCAGTCTGAGCAATTTCAAGGACACACAGCTCAGGCGGCAGCGTACCGATACTCCCTCAGGTAAACAGGAGTATGTGGCCTTGAAGCTGTGGCCTTGGTATGGCCAAATCAATGTACTGCCTTACATATGTGTGCTTGCTATAGAAATAAAAAAAACTCTTGATTTATGTTTTTTTTAATTGGATTCCAGCCAAAATAGTTACGTATTTCAAGGTGTAAGTCTATGGGACAGCGAAATTGGCGTATGAGACCTTAAATACTAGTAGCCGATTTAGCTTAATACACTACATTGCGAACCTGTCTATATTAGCAACCGCTAATATTTCTATCTAGTTAAAAAATCCATTCATAGCTTCTTGACTTGTGCTGGCAATAGTATACATGTAGGTCGAAAATGCAAACAAAGACACACAAACACACCATAAAACAATACTACATGTACCTTCGTACAAAGGTATATGTAATACGTTGACATCCAGGTGAGTCAATTTAAGAAATGGAAATACATAGATTGTGTTTAGGTACCGAGCAACGTTTTTGGAAAAGCAGCTTTTTGTTCGAGACTTTGGTTCACGTGTATGTACCTATTCTATAGTTACAAAACTAAGGAAATGTTATTTTTGTGTTTGCTTTTTATTCTAGGCATTTCTAAATGGACTTGTTAATTACATTGTATAATGATTTCAGATGTGAACGAGTGCTCTAGCGGTAACGGGGGATGTGACCACACCTGTGTGAACACGCAGGGCAGTTATCATTGTACCTGCCGGACTGGGTATCTTCTCTCCGGGACACACACATGCATAGGTCAGAACCACATGTACATTATGAATTACCTTCACTGGTTGGAAGGCTAGGAATTGCAACACTGTATGATGTGTTTAAATCATGGCTAACTAGTACACTTTGATTGACCATCTCGTTTTCCATCAAACCTATATCATCACCTTTTCCTCATTAACGCACACATAGTAACATTTTGAACATGTATGAAATCGCTTCCTCAAGACTTTCATTCTAGTTCTAATTTGGCAAGGAAAGATGCAATTGTAAGTGAGGCATGTGTTTGATATCATTGGCAAATCTTACTTTTTGTGAAGAAATAATTAAGTGTTGACAGTATGGGCAAAACAAATCCTGCGCAACGTTTCTTGTCATAGACGTGAAGAAATGAAACTGACATAAAATCCTTCTTTCGCTTAGATCTGGACGAGTGTTCAGACAACAATGGCGGCTGCCAGCATACCTGTGTCAACACTCCGGGAGGGCATCGCTGCACTTGTCGGCCTGGGTTTGCTCTGTCTGGATCCACCAACTGTGCAGGTAAAGCAATACAGAATAGGTAAAGAAAGGGTGGAGAAAATCTTTCTTTTTTTTGGATACTAGTACTAGTAGTTGTTGCTGGAGTACTAAATTTAAAGTGGCCCATATCATCACAGAACCTTTGCCAATGACACTGGTAGGTATACTAAAGTTTGAACACGTCATAATTTTAACCAGGTGTTATCTGCAGAAAGGAAACTCTGAATGCTTGGAGAGCTCGAAAGTTGCAAGACGCAGTGGGAAGGTGGAAGGACTGAAAGCAATTATCTGACCTAGGCCTTTTCCTGTATCCTACAGACATCAACGAGTGTTCCACCAATAACGGAGGATGTCAGCACACATGTGCCAACACTGTTGGCAGTTTCCAGTGCTCATGTAGAGTCGGATATCAGCTGTCAGGAACCACGGAATGTGTTGGTAAGATCAAGTTAGAATTTCAGTACGAAGGAAACCAGAGTCTTAAGTACTAGTATGTGATCTTGACATTGCATAACCTCTTGTTTGATAGGAACGTAAACAAAGGATAATTCAAGGTGAGGAAATATGAACACGATATAATAATACAAAGCTTAATAATATGGATCAATAGCGACTCCTGGCGAGAGAGGATTAGTTTGCATATAAAATTAGCAGAGAATGGCACTGTCCTTGGTGCTGAATGATGATAGCACAACATTCAAGTGCAGTTAACGTTCAACTTTCTTCTTGTAGAACGGGCTCCATCTAGCACCATCTAACACCAGCTTGATGGAGTCGTATCTACAGTTGTTATTTCAATAGTAAATCTTAATGTAGAATTGTTAGTTTTACATGTAAATTTTTAGCAATGAATGATTGGAAAGGGAAATTGTTTACTGAAGAAACAGCCTTAAGTGTATTTGCAGTTAAGTAGAACTGAAGTAGAATATCTCACTCACTGCTCTTGCCCCTTGCTACCTGGTATGGGCACATCGTGACCCTGCATTGATATTTTCTACCAATGTTATTATACATAGATATAAACGAATGTTCTACCAACAATGGCGGTTGTGACCATGACTGTACCAACACGGACGGCAGTTACTACTGCAGCTGTACGACTGGATACCAGCTCTCCGGATCTCATAACTGTCATGGTTGGTATACGAATACTTTAATTTCAAGACATTATATATTGCAATTAAGGAAGAGATTGATCGAAAGCTTATTTTTGAAAAAGAAAGCATTTTCGGTACCAATGCCAAATCTGGCCGGGATTCTTCCTGGTAATTTGTTTATCATCAGAAATACAATTTTCAACAACACGTTACTTCAGAATACCAATTATTTGACAACACACTGTAGAATTATATTGTTTGTATTCAATGTGATAACCCACGATACGACATTTTCTGCATCAGACATAGACGAATGCTCCAGTGGTAATGGCGGCTGCCAACACACGTGTACAAACACAGACGGAGGGCACGAATGCTCCTGTAACACCGGGTATCAGCTCTCAGGATCTCGGAACTGTATAGGTAAGTAGTGCGGAAGCAAAATGCCCATCTTGTCCATTCTTGTAATTTTAGCAGTTAAGAGCCATACATTACATGACGTATGAAAATCCTATGGGTATGGGATGGGTCTGTATAATGGCCCTGTCCTTGGTGCTGAAGTGTGGTTCGATAGACACAGCCCATGGTTATAGAGCTGATTTTGTATAATTCAGACACAACGTTCTCAGGAACGGTCTATCACATGCTTGCTCATACCATCTGTTGATTGTGTATTTTGATTTTCAGACATCAACGAGTGTTCTGAAAGCAACGGAGGCTGTGATCAGATCTGTGTGAACACTGTGGGGAGTTTTCACTGTGCATGTAGGCCGGCCTATCAGCTCGCAGGGTTCGGAGGGACAACATGCATCCGTGAGTCGACGTTTGTTGTGCATGTTTTGTTTATTTATTTTATTTTATTTTATTTATTCAACTTTACAGAAAATTCTGAGAGGAGTCGGCAACAGGAACATAGAGTTCCTCTACTAGGCCGGCTCCTCTAGAAACATAGAAACAAAACAAACAAACAAACAAACAAGCAACAATTTAAAAAGAGTAATCAAATGGACACTAAGACTGTATGACTTTTAGGGGGAATGGTAGTTGTAATATGCTATTCACAAGAAAACTGTTATGCCAACAACTATCTGTCCAGGTGCTTGAGTAACTGTTTTCTTGCATGTCTCATTACCTGGATGTCTAAGCTTCATCGATGTATATTTTGGTATTGATTGACATGCAACGTTCAATGATTGAAATTTTAGGGAAAAGGCACTTCTCATTTTCAATTTGCATTTCTGTTGCAGCAAGAGAAAACAGTGGGTGTGTGAATGGTACATGGGTTTCACAAAGCCAATGTGACTGCGACCCTGGTTATACTGGATCCAGCTGCAATACAGGTATGTCCAGAGAGTACATGACTGATTCATCCCATGTAGAACTATCGATCTCATAAACGAATTCTGTTCGTTCTGCTTTTAGATTTCATCCTTAACTGTTACACAATCTCTCATTGTCCTGGCTAGGGCTCTAGCTTCCCAGATGCAAAATTCAGGGATATGATAGTTTTGTATATTATTTCAGCCATCTGCAGCAGCGGCTGTGTTCATGGAACTTGCACGGCACCTGAACAATGCAGCTGCTTCACTGGGTACACAAGAATCAGCTGTGACACAGGTAAGGCTTACACATGTGCTATTTACGTGCTATACGTGTCATTTACTTGATACACGGCAGACGAAGAATCCATTCATATTTCAATACATGCTCTTTGTGCAACTGATCCGCATAAGAATTGTTCAAAGTATCATTAAGAATAACTAACTACCACTACTTTTATTACTTCAGATGTCAATGAATGTCTGACAAATAACGGAGGCTGCCAGCATGACTGTGTGAACACTGCCGGCAGCTACTACTGCACATGTCGTGACGGATACCTGCTCTCACAGGGACACAATTGTGAAGGTAGATATATGCATTGCTGAAGGTTTGGTCTAATTGGTATGCATTTGGCTTTGGAAGGTTCTCTCCTTGACTATTTCCATAAAAAGGGCCCCGGTCACTGTATCTCGTAAACTGTGTTCTTTTCGCACTCCTCCAAGTCGAGGATTTTCCGTCTGCTGTTGATGATACCAGGGTTTCTGAAGATGGTGTATACATATAGATACAATTTGCTCCATGGTGTGATGTGATTGTATTATGGGCACTGCATGCTTTTACATTCACTTAATGTACGCTTGATCAGACAAACCTAGAAGTGCTTCCTCCTGTCAATCGCTTACCATTAACCATGACCTTATGAAGTTGAGAACTGCCTTTTGAAGACACATTGTCCCTAAATACTATAGTAGTACATTTGATAGATAATGGCTCTCAATATGGATGTTTGCTGTGTATATTGCAGACATAAACGAGTGTCTGGTTGGAAACGGTGGCTGCCAACACAACTGTCTCAACACGGAGGGGAGTTACAGTTGTACCTGCAGAACTGGATATCAACAAGCCGACCGAAGCTGCTATGGTAAGGTCATGTAGGGAGCCTGTCTTAAAGTCTTTTATCAGCATATTCCTGCAAAAGTTGTTAACATTTATGACCAACGTTGGTGGCGAATTTTTCCGACATGATTTTTCAACAGTGGATTGGAAGGTAATACATGTACATCGTACATATATGTTAACTTGCAATGTTTTGTGTTTTTTTTCAGACATCGATGAATGTTCTTCCAATAACGGTGGCTGTCATCATGTATGTCTAAACACAGAGGGAAGTTTCCACTGTTCTTGTAGGACTGGGTATCAACTAGCGGGCACAAGCGACTGCACAGGTAACAGAAATATACAACATCATCTAAAGCATGATAAGCCCTGTAGCACAGTAGTTTGAAAAGTAAAGTATCTTCATCATTGTCAAATTATCAAACTTTAATTCTCAAAGTTAAAGGTAATCGTGGTACAAGTTCTAAAGATTGAATGCAGTGCCTTGTGAGGTGTATGCTCGAAAAATTAAGGAATAGATGAATTTCGAAAGCATACTTCTCATGTGCTCTACCAGATGATATACTTCATCTGAAGTGTTTAATTTTGTCCCTTAAGTAAATATCATGATTAGACACAGTTACTTTGTAGAGCAACATATTCCCATGGTTTAAGAAGTTTCAGTTTTATGTGTGTATATGAGATGTTAATCAGAATACCTTTATATACCCTTGTTGCAGACATTAATGAGTGCAGCAGTGACAATGGAGGCTGTCAGCACAACTGTGTAAACACTGAGGGGAGTTACAGATGTACCTGTCGCCATGGTTACCAGCTATCAGGGACATCGAACTGTGTCGGTAGGAATACAAGGTTCTATCAACGTTGCAACAGAATTTTGCCTGCTGCAGATATTATCTTTCCCATCACAACGTGGTTTGAAAACTATAGACAGAATGTCATCTTTATATTTATATTATTATATAATGACCTTAAATGAGATATTCTACCAAAGTGCTATATACAATACTTTACGGGATTGGCACAGGCGCAGAACGCTCTGCCAACATGCTGCATGGTGACTGGCTTTTCCAGCTTCAACCAAACGGTATGATGGCCGATTCAAACACTGCTGTGTTTTTTTACTGATCTGATACTGAGGTTTGCTATGTTACAGATGTGAATGAATGCCAGTCACTCCCAGACTGTCATTACTGCACGAACACGGAGGGATCATTCACATGTTCGTGCAGACGTCGTCACCATCTTGTAAATGGCAACGACTGTAGAGGTATCAAATATCTTCTGACGTCTCCTTACTGGCAACCATAGCATTTAGTAATAGCAACTTGACCGATGGAAGGAGTATTAAATTAAATTTTGTGTAATGTGAACTTTTCGTTGCTTCGCAATGCACTTTATGACATTTCTATGTCTATGTGTTCATAACGGCACAATGATTCAAATACACGTACTTCAAGTCTATCGTTTCTCCTTTAGTTGATGACTCCATTCGAACTAACATCTATAGTCTTCACCTAGTCTGAGTATCCACAGGAAGAAATTTTAAAGTCATGGATATTGTACATTTTTAATTTCCTTGATATTAAGTGGTTTCGTTTGTAACTTATCAAATCAAAACCTTGTCGTAACGTCTGTTCCATGTAGATGACGATCTGTACCCGTATGGAGGGGAAGGTGGGAAGATCCACCAAGGGAAACACTGTGTGCGGGAGGAGCTACCGATAGAGGGACTGAGATTCTTCAGTCGACGTCATCACTACATATATGTAAGACGTATAGTCCGTTTTTTTCTAAATATACAAGCATGATGCTGCATGTTCTAAAATATTGTGATGAAGTTAGTATTCTCAATCGTATATCAACCAAAGCTGAATTTTTTGTTCTTGGCACTTAATTGGGCAAGGGGTGAAGTCTGCCATTTCCTATTCCCTTGTAAATGTGCATAACATGATTAAATTTTTATGTTTAGCAGAAAGCGTAGACGCGCAGTCTGACACTAAATCAGTATCACCCAGTATGTCAATGTCAACATTCAATCGTTTCTCTACTTTGACAGATATGTGACAATGGAGTGGTGTCATTTGACTGGATTCCGCGCCCACGGTTCCCCACAAAGATGACAGAAGCCCACTGGGCCAGAAAAGCAGTAATAGCACCGTTCCTGGCCCAGTCCCACCCCTACGTCATACCACATCTGCCAGAACAACGGAAGACAAAGATTTACTACCAGTTCCATCGAGTGGGAGACGGTGGTGCAGATTCGGCTGAGGTTCTACGCCGGGCGGGAGAGCACGGAAAGTCTACTCCACGATTCTACGCACCAAGTAAATGGACTCAGATTAACCAATGACATTACCTGAACATTTTGATTTACCATTTATTTACATTAAACAAGTCCTTGCTTTAGATTTGTAAACAGCACCGTACAAGAGTTTATTTACATCGCTGTTGAGCCCGGGCGCCCATTTACAAAGTAAACATCGTTAGACTATACTGACATTTATTACCGTTGGTAAATCCAATTTTTCGTGTAATGTTTCTGCCCGACAGTTCATACTTATACATCGGCCCTAAAAGATACAGCCGTTCGACAATTTAGTATAGCTCCAATAGGTGCTATCGCTGTACTCGCTGTTCACATTTTGTCTTATAATTAGCTTAAACATATTATAAATATATCATCACTATATTCCGTCACCAGTTGTCAACCTCCTGAAAAACTTACTTTCCAACAGCTGTATTTGTTGAAACAGATCTACAGTTCTACTAGGCTCAATCTGTCCTTGTTTTGTCCAGACTAGTAGTAGTCGCGCCATTGTGGGTCCTTGTTGTGACGTGGACCAACATCGCCCCTGACTGCAGTGTGTACCCAGGAGGACGATGTCCCGTCAATCATGCTATCCTACCGGTAAGTGGTCATGGGATCATGTATGCTTCACAAATATGCAAATTTGCTTTATGCAAATAATGTTAATGTTCAGTTACAGTTCCATTGCAAGTAGAACCATAATCTTCCAATTTTTTACAGATCAACGACTTTCAGTTAGTCATTTCCACTGATGGGACTTACTCATTTGGACACAACATCTACCCAACGATGAAGATTGAATGGACCAGCGCAGGTAAGTGTGTTCCGGCCTAAACATTTCATACCGATTTACATATCTGAAACATCGCTTTATTCTGGTAGTTAATGTGATTACTTTTAATGCAAGAATATGCCGATGTTCGCAGGTGAACTGAACGGAAACCCGAACCCTACAGCGCACGCCGTTGGTGGGTACAGCTCCGGAGAAGGCACTGCCGTAGACCTACAGTATTCGGGCACCGCTAACATGAAACGATGGAGATTACATGCAGGTAAAGTGCAAGTTTGTCGATAGCACAATCTTTTTCTGTTTTATCCTCAGCTTGCATCAACTGTACTGAATCTTAACGTTATGGCTCGGCCATCTTAAAACCTGCCAGCTTACTAATTACAACACATCTCAGACCAATCAATTACAAGTCATAACAACAGCACTCTCATGTCCAATAGTATTTGCCATTCTTAAGTTAAAATAATTTTCTGTCAACATTACATTCAAAAGCTAAGGACCTACAGACAATAAGCTGCAGACTATTGTGGTAAAAGTCCAATGGAACATGTACAGGTTTGTGCACATGACTTGGGGCTGATAGTGTTTGATGTAGGTTGATAAGTTGCAATGTTAATGAATTTGTTCTGTAAACGGTGTTTGGGACGATTAAGTTTATTAGTTGTAGCAACTGATCTGAAAATTTGAATCTCTTCTTTGTTCACCTACAGGTCCCTGGAGCTATGCCCTTCAACGCTTGGGAGATTCCACAGTTCCACAACAGTCGGTTCTACAATGTGCACAATGGATCAAAGAACAGGAGAATATATTACCTGACCCCACCAGGCTCCCAGGCTACTACCGGATCCCAAGTCCCCGGTCCTGTCCATGTAACGCTGAACAAGCCTTCTTCGACAACACGTAAGTACCCTAAAGCAATATACCAGAACCACAACGACAGCGTTCGTCGAGTCAACCACCTGCGCCTCCGTTTTACGTAGCTACCCAGGGTACACAGTAAAACAATGAAAATCCTAGAAGAGCATATATGGAATATATCTGAGGGTCATGGGTGCACCATATAGGTAATGATTACGCAGAGACGTTATTAGAGTTGGGTGAAGGAGGTAAATGAGGTAAATGTTTTTTTTTCACAGCTACAGCTATTCCGTTGGTATGACCGAGTCCTGTGCCGTAAGCCGCAGACGCGCTGTGGTGTATATATATGGCAAGATATTGGACATAGCAAACCATGGTGCATTTCAAAACCTAACAGAAAACCTAACATTGAATGATATTGCACCCAGGGGAATTCACTGGTTTTCAACCTAATTTCTTACTGCTGCCCTGCCTAACACCCAACACAAACAGCTTGGCTCACTGTTGTTACGTTTGTTACATGTTTGTAATTGCAATTCCAGGAAACGTAGACAGGTGGCGCAAATGTCACACTCTCTGCAGCTGGGCTGTCTTTTCTTCCATGCAGACACTGTATAGAAAAACATGACATGCATTTTCAACTGCTGTCTAACATCTAACACCATGGTCCATTAGGTCCACATGTGGTTATCTGCATCTGGTAGTCAGGGATCCTTGTACTGTTAGATTCTCTTGTTAGCTTTCTAACATCATTGACTAATTGTATAACACTGTCTGACCAAAGAGATTGGTCTAAGGAAATCCTGACAAGCATTTCTTACTGCCTCCTAACACCCAACAGACAGTGTTGCTCAATCTTAAATTTTCTGTTAGAAACCTAACAGGGAATCTAACAGTATGTAATGTCATGTAATTTATATTCAATTTGTAATTGCAGTTCCAGGAAGTGTAAATAGGTGGCGCAAATGTCACCCTGTCTTCTCAACTAAGGAGCACAGATAGAGGAGCAGGCACTGAGGAAAACATGCAGATAAAACATGACATGCATTTTTAACTCTTGTCTAACATCTAACACCATATGTTTTATATTTGTTGTTAGAAATCTAAGAAGATAATCAGTACAAGGACCCCT